CAAGGTCTGGTATAGATTTTGGTGGGAACTCCTTGCTTTGTAGGATTTTTTAAAACAAAGCTAAGTGTCTAGAAAATGCAATTTAGTGGCAAATGGATTTTTCTTTTACTCTAATGTCTAAATGTCTTTTTTTACTGTAGTACACTGGGTTTGCCACTTCACATTGTATATTTTTTATTGTTACCCTTTACGCCTTGTTAAAAAACCTGATCCCCAATGAATGGTATTTTTTTCCATTGGAACAGTGCCCAGCTACCCATGCTCTTTTTATACAAAAGCTTGTAAATTGACCTTAAAAAGGCGAGAAAAAAACTCAAGATTTGGCTTACGTCGACTTAACCACTTGCTGCCAAAAGCAATTTCTTACATTTGCACACACAAGCTAAAATCTGAATTTTTGGCTAGAAAACAGCTTCAGACCCCCAAACAATTATATATTTTCTGAAAGCAGTAATGTCCTCTTTATGGAGACATCCAAGGTCTTTCAGACCTCTAATGTCACCTGGGAACCCCAAAGAAGCTGATGAAGCAGAGTTCTGGAAGGAGAGATCAGCGGCTGATCTCCCTCCGATCTGTCAGGGGAGACCTGCCGTGCCAGTCCAGGGCTCACACGGGGGACAGCGGAGCCTATGGCGGCACCGGCGGCGGTGGAGGGGACACATGCCATAGTACCGTACAAGCGATCCGGCGCCTGTACAGGCGCTGGATGGCTTGTATTTAAACAGCAATCATCTGCTGTTTAAAACGGCAGCAACAGCTGTGTCCTTGGTATAACCACTTCCAGCTGATGACATGTATTTACGTGACCCCACTGGAAGTAGTTAAATGTGCTATATTTGGGGTTTTACACATTTTTGGCAAATGTCCAGTGAACTGAATTGTGATCATCATTACTGTTGTTTGAATTAGTTTGACATCATACTGGGACACTTCTGAGATCATTCAGAATTATTTACAGGTACATATGACTCCCAGTTGACCTGCGTTAAAGTAAACAAAAGCCCATCAACACAGCCCTTGTAGTTATTTAAATGTATTGTATTTCTACCACTGTTTCAAATAATGAAAGAGTGCCCATCTGTTTATTAAAGTGGAACTATGGGCAAAATAAAAAATTACGTATATGCTTAACTCTAGGGAGTTTATCAATGTATTCACTAAAGATTCATACAATTCTTACCCAATAGTGTAAATCTTGAGTGAAAACATTAATAGACAGAACCGTAGCTAACATTTTTAAGCAGTTGAAGCAACAAGTCTGTTATCTTTTGGGGGAAAAAAGTTTAAGCCTAATAAATAAAAACTGACTGTTTTAAGCATCCCTGGCAGAGTTATATGATTTGCCCCAACCCATGTAATGGTCAGTTTAGTTGGACAGCTTGGTCTGCATATAAATGTTGAGGAAAAATATAAATAGCGGCATGTGAAAAAACAAATGAATCTAAATACGGAATATTATATCACTACATAATAAACCCAAGAACAATATATTGCAGCTTACCATTACTTGGATGCGGTGGCTGCATTACTTTTCTTTTTTTAGACTAAGAACTAAAATACCTATTGATCCTGTCAGAAACCTTATGTCCTTGTAACTTTATGGGCACTGAAATTAAACCTCAAACAATGTTATCAGTTTTCACAGCTATGTTCTGTGTATATGCCTCTCTAGGTAATTGGAATTAGGAGGAGGGTGTATGTGATGCAGATCAGGAAGGCAGCCTAGCATGGCAATGCTGGTCTTCCATGGATACAGAGAGTAAAAGTGGCCATACACTTTACAACCATTGCAAGACCTTAGTCTTGCGATGGTTGTAAAGTAATTAAAAAAACTTACGATCTGCCCATCTTGGACAGGCAGATCGTACTTGCGATCATTGCAAGCCCACCCCCCTGAGGGGCGGGCTTCCGATGAGCGCAATGCTGAACGGGCAGCGTGCGCACACCGGCCCGTGTGGCATTGATCTTACGATCATGCTAAAAACCAGCCGAAAATCGTACGATTCTCAGCTGGTTTTTTAGCATGCTCCTTAGACAAAAGACCTGCGACCGTACAGTAAAAATGGTTGCACGTCTTCCAAACACTTTGCGATTATCGTATGATCGCGGAATTCCCGCGATTATCGTGCGATAATCACACAGTGTATGGGCACCCTTAGAATTGTTGCCCAAGAACTGGAAGTGGGTTATCGGCAGAATCACCAGGTGAAAATAAAGGGAAAACTATTTTTGTATAACTCCTGCATTTACCTGAATATAACACTGTCCACTATAGTGGGCCTTGTATGGATGTTACATTAAGATAAACTACATTAAGTAAAACTTAGGTTGCTTGATCTGGTGTCCATATTGCTGAGACTGTTACAGCCATAACGGTGTCTTTGATTTTATGAAACCAAAATAAACTATTGTATTTTGCATGTCTATACAACGCATTTATACGGGTTATATAGACAGGTTCCTTGCATTGTTCAGATATTGTGTATTGACACATCAGATGTTAGCAATCTGACTTCTGTTGCATAATGCATGACTTGTTCTGCAATATAAAACACAAGATCTGCAATAATTGACACAAATTGCTGCTGCAGGCCTCAACTCTTTACTTTTCACAAACTAATTTGCATGATACATAAACTAATTAGAGACACATTAGACATATTTTGAAAACAGGTTTGTAATTGCTTGTGGAAGGCAGAAATCCCAGTTTTTTTTGTTTTTTTTTTAACTGAGCAGTGAGCAGTAATCACTAATGGAGCAATGTGTTACATGACCCTCTGGCAGTAATGAGAAAGGTGATTTTTTTTTTGGCCGAGTTATACGCAAATTGAAAAAAAATAAATGAGCTATTTTTGCCTCTTTAAACATTTGTCTAACAGGGGATCAATCAGATGAAAATATTTAATTTCATGCATATCCTGTTAAGTCGACAAATAATGGATTTAATCTAATTAACAAACACTTTCTTCAAATTACTGTTCAGATATTACAGTTCGGTTCATTAAAAGCTGGACTCATGTTAGAAATTCAAGACATCCTCAGGATGCAGAGAAAAAATAATGTATCCTTTAAGCTAAGCTGAATATACCTGTATTTGTAAAACAGCAATATGCTGCTTAGCAAAGTAACAATTAAAGGCATAGTTCTGCTTTTGCATGAAAGATCGGGGGGACACCAGACACTTCTGTTGCTCGCTTATCTCAAGGATACTGTATTTGCAACTCCACTCAGCACAAATCATCAGTGCAGAAGGAGGAGAGTGTAATGATCAATAAAACCTCACCTCTGTGCCTATTTCATCACTAAAAAAAAAAAAAAAATATGGTTAGGATTGCACCACTCTGCACCTTCTAGATGGGTGTTAGACTATCCCAATAGAGTGCCATGAAGCCAACACTTAATGAGACCAAATGTAGATATAAACAAAAAATACAATACTAAAAAGCTGTTATAAAGATGAATATTTGCAAACACCACTTTAAATACAGAGACAATTTATCGTGCTTAATGTAGGTCTGAGCAAATTAGAAATTCATTAGGTATCTGCAATAGGATCACATTTTCAAAATTCCATAAAAAAATTCTACAAATACACAAAGACTGTTTTTCTGTACTTATGATAAAATACCTTTCTTGGAGTACATTAAGAGACACCGGATTCAGGTATTACTTAAACAAATGGGTTATACTACCACAGGAGGTTTGGACACTGGTAAACAAAAAAAAGTTAGGCTAGGCCCTGCATAACCCCACCTCAAACCATCATGCCTCAGGTTTGTGAGCAAGCAGTACATAAGGTCACAAACATGGAGGGGACAGAGCTTGTATCCCTTGATGAAGTCCAATAAATTTACACAAATTCTGTGTTCTTTCTTGTTTATTAAGGAACACGTTATTCAGTTAATTCAATAGAATTAATACGTCCAAAAGCAGTCCAAGTGATGGGTGGGCAACAGAGGTATACTTACATAGGAATATATCAGAGACTGGATTACACCCGAGGTTGTACAACTGCTCTGAACCCTTGAGAATGCTCTAAGGCTAATTGACACAGTACACACAGGTATGGAAGGCACCATATTGAAAAGCCTAGTGTCAGGAGGACGCTCAGTTTATCTTCACCCTGTCCATTGGCCTATTCACAGAGTGAGTCTGTAGAGACTGGGCCATGGCTCTGGACCTGGAGAGCACCCTGTGGCTAACAGTACACTAGAGAATGGAAAGCACCATTGGCATAACCGAGTTCCAAATGGTCACATGCCAGATAGGCCCCGCAACCTCTGCGAATAGGTACTGAGAAAAAGCTGGTCTGGATAACTGCTGCATAGGGACCAGCTCAAGTAGCATAATAATGTCTTGAAGAATGATGTTATAAGACAAAAAATAGTAAAGATATAGAAGGGTTTTCTCAGCAGAGCTAAATAAAAACTATTCAATCTCCTGGGACACTAGCAAAAAAGTGAGGCACGATGGTTGGGGGCAGCATTATATGGGGGCTATAGGTGGTAGAATAACCCAATTGTCTTAAGTATAACTGAAATCTCTGTCTAAACTTCCTTTAGTGAGCTAAAAGTACTGCCTCTTCTGCATAAAATTCCCCACCTGTGTTTCCACTCCTGGACTACAGAACACTTTAACATGGTCCTGTTATGTTATGGAGATGAGAGGGCAGAGGTTTATTGTGGTCCAGCAGGGTAGAAGTCAGGGAGGGCTGACAAAACTGGGATTTCAGTGCAGCTCAATGTATTTCTGGCAGGATCAACAGGTGTTTTTCTGCTCAACATTTTAATAGACAAAATAAAATAACAAAGGGTCCTCAGAAAGGACAACTGTAAACCAAAGAAAACAACAAACCCTAATTATAGAAATTAAATACAGTATAAAACACAGAAATAAAAAGAAAACACATCAAATAACAGTTTGTTCCGTTTTTTTTTCTTGGAGAATCTTTAAGCATTTGATTGCTCTCTCAATCCACATCATCACTTTTTAAAACGTACCTCTTTAGGATTGAAATGAAGGGCACATTCCAGGGTTTCTTTCTCCTCTAAATGCACAGTATAAAGATGGGGGTACAGTAGTCCAATCTCAACAGCTTGAACAGAAAATGTTGCAAGTGAAATTGTGAAACAATCT